AAACCCTCCCACGCTGCTGCTTCTGGGAAATGTGGGCCCGGAGCTCAGAGCTCGGCTGGGGCAGATCCCGCAGAACCAACCACCTCACAGCAGTGAGCCCAGACTTGCTGACGCTGCAACCAGATCTCTGGACTTGGTGCCATGGAGACGGGAGGTGGGGGAACAGAAACTCGTCGATGACCACACGCTGAGAACAGGAAGCAGGAGGACCAGGACAAGAGTCCTGAGGCTCAAGCTCCGTACAGAGATGCGACTGTACAGAGGTCCAGGATACTGGGTTTTCCCCGAGACTTTCAGGTTAGCTTTCAAGCCTCAAGTTGTGTGGGTCCGATGACCAGCAAGTGGCTGCTTCTGGTCCCCGCCCACTCCCTTCCCTTACCTTGCTCTGCGATCTCAATCTCCCGGCGTCCAAATTCTGCCTGCTTGATGTTCTTCACGCAGAAATTGCTGCTGCCCTTGGAGTTGGTTTGCTGCTTATCCCGGGGGGAGACCTCGTCATCAGAGCTGTCTGTGTAGGACGCAGCTAGAGCCGGGAAAGAGAGAAACAAGAAGGGCAGAGAAACCTCAATGGCCCCAACTCCACAGAGTGCGGCCCCCGAGGTCTCCCACTTCAGTCAGGCCAGCACTCTTCATTGCAGCCACTTGGTCCTCGCCCCCAGATCTGCTCCCTGGGCCTGATAAATGGGGGAATGAAACTGCTGCGACCTTTCAGGGCCGAGGCCCTGTCACCACCGCAATGATACTCGGCCGTGAGCGCCTGCGATTGAGGAGCCACGGACCCCAATCTGGCACAGGCCTAGTGCATCCCAGAGCACCGGCTACTTGGTCCCCACCTGAGTGGGAACTGGACATGGCAAAATGGAAGAATAATTTAGGGCACATAAGGAATGCTATTTCCATAGATTACCATCTCAAACTTAAGCAGCTAAAGAATCTATCAGAATCTTGTGGAATGTTTGTTAAAACACAGTTGGCGAGCCCCCTACCAGAAACCCCTTCAGAAGGTCTCAGGTGGAACCCAAAACTGACATTTCTAACAAGTTCCCAGGTGCTGGTGCTGCTGTTCAGAGGGCCACACTTTGAGAATCACAAATATGGACGAAAGTGATAAGACAATCTTACAAGGGCTTTTATACTAAGTTGTGCACAATGTGGAATCACAAAAGAAAATTACGTAAATTAGCAAAACATCTACATAAATATAAAAATATGGCTTTAATAATGGGCATGTAATGTACAGCATGGTTACTACAGTTAATAATACTGTGTTACATATTTGAAAGTTGCTGAGAGAGTAAATCTTAAAAGTTCTCATCAGCCCGGCTGGTGTTGCTCAGTGGTTGAGCACTGATCCATGAACAAAGAAGTCACTGGTTCAATTCCTGGTCAGGACACATGCCCGGGTTTCAGGCTCAATCTCCAGTAGGGGGCGTGCAGGAGGCAGCCGACAGATGTTACTCGCTCATCAATGTTTGTTTCTATTTATCTCTCTCCCTTCCTCTCTCTAAAATCAATAAAAACACACATATATATTTTAAAAAAGGACCACCTCCATGGGGCTAAGTCAGGAGAGAACTAAGAAGAAACAGCTGGAGCCACAGTTGCATAGTCTTTCCCACTCGAGAGGTTAATGGGGAGGACACTTCAGCAGAGAGGATAACGCAGTCAATGAAAGGAGCGGGAATACTCATCTTCACTGGCACAATTCAAGTGGTCTTGGGGACAAGAACGAGAGAGACAGGAGGCAGGGTACATCTTATATAAAGATCAGAAATTACGCTTCCAAAGCACACCTCTTTTCAAGGCCAGTTTTGTCAGCCAAAATGCCATTGATTTTCTCCTTTGGTAATGTGGGCGGATGAATAGACGATCGTGGGAGTGGGAACCCGCCCAGAACTATCAGCCAGGCACAGCCACAGACCACACACGGAGACAGGCGGGGGGCAGAGAGCCTCAGGGTGACAAAAGCATCCCCAGCGAGGAGGCTGGCTGGGAACAGTCCCATTGCCCAACCGCTAATGATCAGCTTTCAGCACACAGATGGGCAGCCCTGACAGGATGTGTTTGCAGATTCTAGATAAGCGCCTGGGAGAGAACGTGCTTCCGGCTCCAGGACAGGAGAGAGCAGCACCTGAGGTCCTCACCTACCTGAGCTGTAGCTGTCGGTGGAGGACTGAGAGATGGACCTCGACAGAGAGCGGCGGCCTGTCTTGGTGGGGAATTTGGTGAACTCCTGCATGTCATCAGCAAACTGGATTTGCTGTAAGAGGAAGACAAAAGCGTTGCAAGCTTACAAGGATTCTATGAAAGGTTCCATTTTTAAGGCCATACACTGTCCTCCCTGAAAGTTGTTACCATGTAGCTCCCACTACTAAGCCAGCAGCTCCCCGCTCATCCCCGCCAGACAGGACACCCTACCTTCTGACGCTTCCCCAAATGCTCATTACTGTCTCTGCTCAATTGTTTCAGCAGAAATTGTTTTTTGGGGGAAGGGTGGCTAAAGACCCAACTTCTTTTGGTTTCTGTCCAATTTCACAAATTTCCCTACCCATATTCCATGAAATTTTCTTTCCTCTTATAACCTTGACATATTAAACCCTTTATCCTGCCCTCCCATCTCAATAAAAACAAAAACAAAAACCGGCATAATCTCATATTGCTTCTGCTTGTTTTCAGAATATTCTCCACTAACACATTCTTATCCTGAAGTTAGCAATGGCCTTCTCTTTGGAGAGAATCATGAAGAGATACTTGATGGTGATGAGCACTGGGGTCAGAGGCCAACCATACCCCTAACCTCCACAAAGCCAAGGTGTCCCAGACCTCCCAGATCGAGTAAAATACCAGACTATTCTCATGAAATAGAAATTAAAACACTCATACACACCAGTCAATTCCAGCTAATTAGGACTAATTTGAAGGTAGGAGAAAATAATGACTTGGTAAACGCTGCATTAAAAACTCCCTTAAATGAAATAAACCAGAACTTGGTCATTGTTTAAAGATACTTGGAAAACTGGCTTTAATAAATAGCAAATAGCTTATAATTAACATCATTTATAGGCAAATTAATGGCTATTTCTCAAGTGCATGAAACCCTTTATTCTATAAGTGGTTTACACCTTCCTCCTGAATTCCTATTCACACCCTGATAAACCCTTTCTTTAAACTTCAGCTCCTGGAAAGCAGAATGGGTTGGATTTCCCTCCCAGTCTGACTAAACCTGAAAAGGTTCCCATGGAGAATCCATTAAGCTAAGTCTTCAGCAAACACGTCTGGAAATGTAAGCTCTCCCAGGGTAAGCTCTCCTCTCCATGGTTAAATTTAAATGGACTTTAAATAACTTAAATGTCAAAAGCACAACTGCCTTTTTAAAAAATATTTTTATTGATTTCACAGAGGAAGGGAGGAGAGAGATAGAAACATCAATGATGAGAGAGAATCATCAATCAGCTGCCTTCTGCACGCCCCCTACTGGGGATCGAGCCCGCAACCCGGACATGTGCCCTTGACCAGAATCAAACCGGGGACCCTTCAGTCAGCAGGCCGGCGCTCTATCCACTGAGCAACACCGGCTAGGGCACAGCTGCCTTTCTTAAAACAAAAACACATACAAAACCTCCCCTCACTGAAGTGGCCACAGCTCAGCATGTGCCCTCTGGGCAGGATTTCCCATTGCACGTTCATGTGACTGCAGTCAGCAAAGCTAGTTTTACTGAAGAGACTAATCCAGGACCAAGGTAATGACTTTACCCCTTATTCTGGTGGCAGGGAGAAAACACAGTCAAGAGACCATCATCGGTTTCCGAACACTCCCCGGGGGCAGCCCGTCCTCCCTCGGCCTCTGTGCTTCTCCCGTTGCTCCTCCCGCGGCAGCCAATCGGGAAGCTGCTCTCGGCCAGGCTGTTATGTAAGGCTTCGTCCCTGCGCATCTTTTTTCAAATGGTTCCGGTATGTTCCCAGACACCACCTACCAGGGGTGAGGGCGGGAACTGCAGTGACATTAGCAGGGTCTGTGTGGTTTTTTTTTAATAAAAAAGAGGGGCAGCTACGGCAAGATAGAAGTGTGTTTCTTCAGCACCCTAAGACCTGAACAGTCATAATCCACCTTGTATTAATAGAGTTCACCAGTCGCCTAAAGCTTAGCGAATCTTTCCCACCTAAAAATATCAGACTGTGCGGCAAGCGGCTTACAAAGCAGTGCAAACCCCACCCCCTAAGTGATAAATGCGGTCCGTCCTTGAAGTGTGCGGAATGTTAACTCAAGTCATGACATGGATGGATAGCTGTCCAGTCTTGTAGCTTTTTGATATTTTCACTACTTCTAAAGAGGCATGACGACATCGGCTCCTCTCTCACCCCAAACCTCCAGGCTGCAGAGAACCTGTATCCCCAGTGTGGCTACACAGCTAAGAGCTCTATTTCCCTTGGCGTATCCCTCCTGGAGTGTTGTTCACCTTCACAGTGTAAATAAAACACTGTTGTCAAAAACAATTTTGGGATGTCACAGGTTCTCTTGCTAGTGAAACCAGATCTCTAACAGCTTCTAACTGGGTTGGCCTCATTGCATCGAAGCCAATGATGATTGCAAAGTTGTTCTGTTTACATTACTTCCCACAATCACCATTTCTTCCAATCATCAAGTCTTCATTGGTGTCCTTCAGTGTTTCTTCAAATCCAGATGTGCAGGGAAATGCTAGGACTGAAGGTGATGTAGGGTGGGGAATGGGGGCGGGGGGGAGAAGAAGGAGCTAGATAGTTGAAAATCAAAAAGTCCAGCTACAGAACTATTTTGTGTTTGGATACTCACCACCCCATAAAACAGCCTTACCCACCACCCCACACACACCAGCATGCATTCCTGAACTACTTCCACCTCTGAGACAGGCGAGAAGGTCAGACTGACCCATTCTCCAAATACAGGCGTCCACTGGCTGTGCCTTCAGAACTAAGTAAATTCAGGCCAATTTAACGTGCTATATACAGTGAGCAGAAAGACTTGCTGGACAGAACTCACCAAGATAAAGGATCACAGGCACCCCCAGAGCTGTAAGCCTCCAGAGAAGACAAATGGTTGTGTACCACTCATGCAGTTGATGCTAATTAGAAACTGAGACGTTTACTTCCACAAACACAGGATCTAGCTACTCAGGTGCTCAATCGCTTAGCTATACTAACTTCCCAGGCCCCACCCAACGTTGCCTTCTAGCCCTCGAATGAGAGAGAATGAAGAGCTACCAAAATTCCACTATGACTCACTGACCAAGGGACGGTGATCAGGATGACACTCATGGAGAATATTCTTTTAATCAGCACGTTTGGTAGGCACCAACTAAGTGCCCAGTGCTGTTCCAGGAAGGTTGACGGAAGGAAAGATGGTCCTTCCAATCTGTAGATGTGCTCTGACCCACAGTGAAATTAATGATAACACAAATGGTTCTGTCGCAGAATTTTACTGCTTCTTTAGGAACAAGCACATTTTTATATTTAAAAATTATAGTCAGCTTATTTCCTAGCTAACATTTAACAACTGAGCAAAAAGGTGACAATCAGAAGCTAGAAAGCTGGACACGGTCAATTACTAGGCAGTGTGCTATAGCACCTCCCGAGAGTGCCAGCACATCCTCTGTCAGCCCTCTCACACATCTTCTGGCCGACTTCCCCTTTCTCTAGAGCAGCGGTTCTCAACCTTCTGGCCCTTTAAATACCGTTCCTCATGCTGTGACCCAACCATAAAATTATTTTCGTTGCTACTTCATAACTGTAATGTTGCTACTGTTATGAATCGCAATATAAATATCTCATATGCAGGATGGTCTTAGGCGACCCCTGTGAAAGGGTCTTTGACCGCCAGAGGGGTTGTGACCCACAGGTTGAGAACCACTGCTCTAGAGTCTATAGGTTCTTTCCTCACTGGCTCTTTCCTCAGAGGTGTGTTATGGGAAGAGGAGGAGGAGAAAACGCAATATTTTTGTCCCCTTGACCTTCACAGCAGACCTCGCGGCCACCCAACCCCAGGAAAAGGAATCGACCCACCTAGGCGCATCTTAAACCGCGCGGACGCCCTTTTCTTAGGCGCACATTTCTCTAGAGCAGCGGTTCTCAACCTTCTGGCCCTTTAAATACCGTTCCTCATGCTGTGACCCAACCATAAAATTATTTTCGTTGCTACTTCATAACTGTAATGTTGCTACTGTTATGAATCGCAATATAAATATCTCATATGCAGGATGGTCTTAGGCGACCCCTGTGAAAGGGTCTTTGACCGCCAGAGGGGTTGTGACCCACAGGTTGAGAACCACTGCTCTAGAGTCTATAGGTTCTTTCCTCACTGGCTCTTTCCTCAGAGGGAAGGAAGTGCGTATGGCTGTCAGCCTAAACAGGTGAAGAACTTACAGTGATCCGTTTGATTCCTATTTCAAGTGGATCCAAAGAAACAGTAATCAACAAACACCAACTCTGGGTACTATAAGTCTAAACGTCTTTCAGACTTCCAATTGGATAAAAGAAATGTCCCCCAAAAGAAGGGCACCCCCTTCCCGACAAGTTTCAGTTACACCCCCAGAAAACACTTCCTCTCAAGGGAATCACGCTCGGGCCGTGGAGCGATTTACAGGCCCCGTCAGTCACTTCTATTCCCAGAGCAGAAACTCGGAGGTCCTCCCGTCCTGTCTCAAGTTTCTTAAGTTCCCAGTCACCCCAGATGGGGCCTGAGTTTCTGGGGAGCAGGGAATGGGCAAACTAGTCACAGCACACATGTCTCTCCCCCACTCCACCCGTCTCCGTGTCTCAACAGGAACAGGACATAACACACACGGCTAGAATCAGTTCCAGTCAGAACACTCCCTTCAAATGGGATCTGACTTGATGCTTCATCGGTGTCAGGGGGAGGAAAGGGAGAGGCAACACCAGGGCCCACACTGCTGAGTCACTTCATGGTGAGGAAAGAACATAAAGCTTGAAAACCTGTGCCAAAGAGCAGTTTTACCCTAACAGCCACTCCATTCTCTTCACACGAGACAACACACTTCACTGCTTCTGTTACCTCCTGATGTGATCTATGAAAATGCGTGATCTGCGCTGCCAACTGCCAACAGAGTGAGATAAAGAGGTTACTGGCTACAAGTGGGGCAGGGAAGGGCTTCCTAATCTTCTGAAAACCACAACGTACAACACAGCATCACACACATCCGGACTAGGTTTCAATGTCAATTTAGCTATCCATATTGTCCTCATCCTCAAACCACCACCAATATTATGTAAACATGTTAGCCATTCTTCTCTGTGCCTGA